AGCATTGTCATGCTGCAAAATCACTTTATCGTGTCTCTCGTTGTATTGCGGCCGTTTGTCTTTCAATGCTCGGCTCAAACGCATCAATTGCGTTCGATACCGATCGCCTGTGTGTTGTTTCAATCGGTTTTAACAGTTCATAATACACTACGCCGAGCTGGTCCCACCAAATACAGAGTATGACTTTGGACGTCAAAATCACCGTTCTTGAAGCGTTGAAACCACTCACGACACGTTCTTTCACTAATAGCGGCCTCACCATAAGTATTTGAGAGCATTCGATGAGCCTCAGCCGTGGATTTCTTCATATTGAAGCAAAAAATTAAAACCTCCCGCAAATGACGAGAATTTGGCTTGTAAACTGACATTTTCAATCGAGAATAACTTTATGATGCAGACACAAATCGATTAATGTTTCTATGGGGTTATGTTGATAGATGCCCAAGTTTATTGTATGACGTCTATGATCTATTTATTTCGTCCATCACTTACCGCTAAAGCCATCTAGGAAAACGGCGGAAGCAAAGTTGTACACCTAATATATATATACAGGGTGTCTCTTAAGATGGGTCAGAGCCACATTGGGGACGGAGATCAAAGGGAACAAAAATTCTTATATACTATTTTGAAATAGTCGCTGTAGTTTTCGAATTAGAAAAGGAAAAGTCTAAATCAATATGCGGTTAAGTCGCGTCGCGCGAATTCGTAAGATGGCCGTCACTCGAGCGACGGCAGCAACGGCGCGCAGGGAGAGGGAAGTAGCGCTTCGTTGCTTAGCACAATCTGGCATGGCGATCCTATGTGTTTCGCCGCATCGCGCCTACACTATTCAAAAATATTATTTTAGCTGAAGTTTTTCTTATCATTATAACGTCATGTTATTTAGTACGATTAAATACGTTTTAACACAATTATAGATATGTTAAGCTATGTAATTAATTAGAACATTACGCAAAGTGTATGCTGATCGTCGTGATACCTTTTCGTTTGCTTTATTATACGATGTTTCTATTTAATTATGCTTCGAGACACACTTCGTCGGAGCTATCGCATCGTTTTGTTATATTTAGTCGGAGTTTTATTTTTTGACATGTTAATGCAAGTACATTTGAAATTATAGTATAAGCTCTCATAGATAGCCGCTACATTGTAAATTCAGATGTATTATTTTTCCATGTATGACGCATTTGACTGAGGTTTTTTTCACATGTTTCTTGTCGTTTAATAAGTTTAATTGTACACTTAGAAACGTTCTTAAATTTTATTAATATTCACTGATGAAACATTTAAATTTTCTGTGTTTTCACTGAAAAGATTATTTATGTATACGTTAATGAGATGTTTAAGTTTGTAATAACTGAAAACTTAAATGTATTGAAAAACTAATTGAAAATTGAGTGTTTTAGTTTATTTTTATTAAATTATCCATCAAATTTAATGCTCATGTTCATTACATTAAAAAAATTTGTAACTTACAAGGAAAGGGACTTAACTGCCGCGCGCCAAGCTAACGATGACGGATATTCGGCGTTTTAGAAATAATATCTTGAAAATTGGGAAATGATCAAGAACTCTTCGAAAACTCAGTTTAGTTCGTTCTAAAGCGAGCACATGTACATACAGAAAAATGTTACATAAATATTACTTGTTTCAAGTAAATAATAAGTGTTTTAAAATTATATTATCAAAAAAATATTCTTTGTAAAGATAATTGTTATGCAAACGAAGAAGAATAAAAATTGCGTCCCATCTTAGCACTAAAATGATATTTTTCTGCATGTACACTACGCTTATGAAGTTCGGAAGTTCGGACACCCGCATAAATTTCATTGAATGATCATATAAAAAATTAAGACATTATAAAAGCAATTATTATACCTCGAGAAAAGTTTCTTCGATTTAAAGAAATGTTGTTTTGCTATATATGATTAAAGAAAAAAATTTCTTTGATTTGAATGTTATTTCTTTGATTGAAACATTTTTTGAAATCAAATAAAAAATTATTTGATTTAAGGAAAATATGTTCAGATTAAAGAAATGACGTTCAAATCAAAGAAATTTTTTCTTTAACCATATAGCAAAGAAACATTTCTTTGAACAGAAAAAAATCTTTCTCTGGGTGCGCCGATTATTATTCATGTACGTGCAGAAAAGTATCATTCTAGTGCTAAGAGAGGACGCAATTTTTATTCTTTTTCTTTTGAATAACAATTATCTTTACAAAGAATATTTTCTAATATAATTTTAAAATATCCTTATTATTATATATATTTTAAATAAATTTATTTGAAATGAGACTCTGGTTCCTGTATACTTGACGTGAAAATGCTTGCCACAAAATGTAATGTAACACCGTAGCTAATAAGCAATTGTAGCTTCTAACATGTTCATTAATCTAACCTAATTTTAAATCTAATATACAAAAGTGCTGGACAAAAGTATTAATACAGAGGATGCTACTATAAAATAAAAGTATTTTCAAAGATGTAATTTTTCGAAAATACTATTTCATAGTAGTAATCGTGTATCAATAATTTCGTTCAGCATTTTATTTACACAAGCATGTGCGCAAGGCTGTGTATACATGTATATATGCATGCATATCTAACATACTAGAGACATCACTATGATATACGCAGATACTGTAGAGACGTACTGAAGATGTATTGAAGACACTCATTTCAGAATAACTACGGTATATCACTAGGAGCTCCCTGCGAAAGTCTACGGGATGAGAAACCACGAACATAGTAGATTTTGAAGAAATACTCTGTACATCACAGACTCGAATATCTTGATGACGTATTCAACAAACGTTTGCGTTCTAACGTTATCAGAACGTAGATGCTATCTGGATTGCTTTATGCAATTCCTATAAATGAATAAAAATGCATACAGGATTGAATAGAATTCATTTTAACATTCATGAATCCGTATTTCTAAAAAATCTGAATCCATTTTAATCCATTTCAATCCATTCTCGTTTGCTGGGTAATTGGGTTTGATAGAGAATTAAAGTTGTCCTTATAAAAACTATCTCATTAAGCTGATTTAATGGAGAAAACTGTGTCCTACAAGCGCATGAATAATCAATGAGGCGTATTCAGATTCCCACCTGGGTGTTCTCTGGATGTTATATCATCCTTGTTTAACATTCAGTAAATAACTAAAATGGAGTGATATCTGGGTAACACTCCTTGGGTAGAATCTAAATATAATCCTAATTAATTAAGTCTCCAGATAAATACAAAGGTCAATATGGTCAGAACACAAATGTCGTATAATATACAGAAAAGCGAAAATGCAAATTAAAATTAAAATGAGTACACAAAACACAGTCGACAACTGTCTCTGTATGTATATGTGATTTTCGATCCGCAGGAATTCATTTTCCTATGTCCCATTGAGCGAAACTTGCGGATGCGAAATCAATGCTACTCCGGCAGATCTAAAACAGAGAAATGAAAATTTTACTGCAGTGTTTGCAGTATATGCTTGCATCGCAATATTTCATCGCTATGACCAACTTCTTAACTTGAATACTCATCTTCAATGACTAATGACGGTTCATGAAGCAGAACGGCACATTTTTTGTCAAACTATTACTTATTTTTATGTGAAAACGCATCGATATATTTTCATCACTGTTATTAAATCTGATTAAGGGTACCGTATAAAGATAATTCCTCAATCTCGATATTGTTTGGATAATCTAGGCATTTACAATTATGCGAAAATACATTGACTAAAAGTATTTTTATCAATATTTGAGGTAATCAGGACCCAATATTATATATAATATAGCTTTAGCCACAGTCGTATTTATTCAACTCCTTCGTGATCACGTGATCGTAACAATAACTTCAACTAATAATCTCTGCAGAATGTAAAATGTACAGAACCGCAGCGCTTGCAACGCTCGCTGACGATGGCTGTGATCAAAGTCTCGCTACAAATGCTCTGAAGCATTTGATGGACCAATTAGAAGAAAGACTTTTACAAACTGACTAATTAAAAAACGCTTCAAAGAGTTTGCAGCATCGCCACATTGCAGCATCTAGATATACCAGTTACGACACACCACTTTTTTGATAAGATAAATTCGTCACGCGCATGCGTCAGTTGTACCACAGAGAAGATGGCTGCGTTATAATCTAACCAAACTAGGAACACAAGACTGTGATATCGAAGTATCGAACGAATAATAAAATTTATTCTGGTAATTATTTAGAAGAGGGTCCTCACCTTCGATTTTGATAAAATTTATCTCATTCAACACGTTTTTGAAACGAAAGAATCTGACAGAAAAACGTAGCGATTGGCCTTGTAAATCAAGCTATCAAGCATTAAAATTTGAGACTTTCGAGATTAAGATATTTGTTATTCCGATTTGATACAGCATAATGCTTTAATTATATAAATTCACTGCTTTAAAAAACACAAATTCCATGCTTTAAAAATATAAACTGCTAATGCAGAGAATTTGTATGTTTAAAGCAGTGAATTGTTGTTTTTAAAGGTAATTTGTTTTTAAATAGTACTTAAAGTTACATTTATTTTTCACAATAAAAAGGAAATTTACAATTATACATTAATCGTTTTAATTTTAATCATTGTGTGACTGAATATTTCATTCTATTACAATATTTATTTGATAATTTTTATTATTGTTTACTAATAATCATACTTATTTTTTTTCTATATTTATTTCTCAACATATTTATTTGTTTATTATATATTTTAATGATTACATATATAATATGATCATAATAGTAAAAGTAAAAATATTTGAAAAATAAACGCAGAATGGATATATATGGATTTACGGTATAATAGTTAGTTATAATCCTAATTTGAATTTGCCGGGACATGTAGTTTGTCCGTGCTACTTCACCCTAGCTCAGCGTCCTCAACCGGGATTTAACAGGGATGCATTCCAAAACTTGACTCTGCCAACTCCAAATATTTTTTATCTTTATTCATTCGATTAACAAGGATAAAATGATACTCGAATTGACAGAGTTGAATTTTGGAACGTAACCTAGGAGGATATCTGAAGATAGCTTAATCTAAGGCCGAGTTCTCACCTTGACGAAAAAGCGGAAGCCAATCGGAACTCGCAATAGTAAGTGGTACATTTCGCTTGTCTGCTTCTGTCTTTCCATGAGCTCTGATTGACTTCCACTTTTCTGCTTTCCGTTTTTTCGTTAAGATGTGAACCCGGTCTAGTGCCGAAACATAATAATATCTCAGTTTTTCATTCTGTATGTATTTAACTCTTATTAATAATTTTTATCCTTTTTTTATTTTTATATTTTAAAGAATCGATTCTTATTTGCCTTTTTTATCGTTATATTGTTATTAGAATAATTTTGTTATTATATGTTTTTCAAATTTTAGTAATTTTAGTAATTTAGTAATTTTAGTAATAAGAAAATAATAACATATAAAGTAAATAAACTATAAAAATATATTTAATAAAAATAAAATGTTTGAAACATAACTTTCATATGTATCTAATTTATTTAAAATATAAATATTAACACATTTGTAAAATAATCTGGGTGTAATATAATCATAATCGCAGTGATAATGGAATCGACATCGAATAGAACCATTATTATTTCTGACTGGGATGTTAATACTTTGAAATATTGCGTAAAGCCTAGCAAACAAACACTAAATGAACAGCGAAACTTTGTGTTGTTATTTGTTATATAAAAGTTGCACAAGTTTAATTGCTATGTGCAACGAACACCGAATCTGATCGAATGCTAGTATTCGGTGAATCAAGAAAAAGAATAAACTGCTCACGAACATAATGTCCGAACATTCGCGTTCGGTGTTCGTTCACTAGGTGTATACGCGGCTTAAGATTGCAGAGATGAATATTTCTAATCCACAGTTTGTGTAGCAATTTGTGTGATTATATGAACCAAATCGATTTCTTCTTTCGATCATTTACAGCCTTGAAAAGGACATGTGTATATATCCTCAGAAAAGTGGATCTTACTACATAGTTTACATCCATTTTTTCAGAGGGCAGTAGTGCGCGACAGCATTTTGCTATAGGTAAAAGGCCTTCATGTCCTCTCTCTTTTCTTGTTTCACTCTGCCTGAACACGTGCACGTGTGTTAACGATTGATAAAATGTTTGTAATTAATAATAAGATCTAAATAATTTATAAATATATCTACAAACAAAATGGAATTGAATGAAGAAATTGAACCAAAATTTAAAAAATTTCACGAACTTGAGCTGGATGACAGGATACTGAAGGTAAAACTAATTTATCACAATCTAATAAAATGTTATATTGTGTATTTAGTTCAAATATTTGATAAATATGAAGGAGACAGGCTTACTGATTTTGATGAAATTAGACTTATTTTGTACGAAATAAACTAACAGAAAAAAATATTGCTTTGCCCCGCGAACCGAGATATTAAGCGTTAAAATTGACGACTCAGGTTAGATAATATCAGGTAAGAAATCTGTCAAACTGATTTTATTATAAGTTGGTAGATAGTTAGTAATCCTAAGTCTTATAGGCTTTCTACAATAAGTTATTACCTAAGTTGTAAGGCTTAAATTATAAAAAAATTGACTGATTATAATCAATTATTCTTTTCACATTCCATTGTGATTGAATAATTTTTTTACTTTGATCTAAGACTTAAATAATCTTAAGTAATAGCTTATTGCAGAAAGCCTATTATTGTTAAATAGGTAAAGTTGGCCAACAGTCAACTTATATTACTAGGCTTTTTACAATAAGTTATTACTTAAGTCTTAAGCTATATGAAATTTATTCTAAACGTTCGTTTTTTTTTGCAAAGCAATAATATAAAAAGACATATCTGTAATCAAGCAGAATAAAGTTATTTTTAATAATATTTCATCATTTATTATCCGAAGAACATATAGTACATTTTGGAGCAGGTCCTTCTTCAGCAAATAATACAAAGATTTAAATTAAACAATATATTGGAAGAATTAACATTATATTATTAATAGTTAAAAAATTGTAAAGAAACATTTCAAAGTTGTAAATTCTCCAAGAAACAAATTGTCCTTCAGCTTTGAATTCCTATTTTTAATGTGAATGTATATACATAAAAAAATATTCCAATGGTTGTTGAATGAGAAGGAAAATAATATTGATAAAAACGTCTCTTGGATTACCTATCATTGCTATTCAAACCCTCCTAATGAAAATCTTACGTTCAACATAAGTGAAGAACAGATTAATAATCAAAATTTAATTTCACATTATTAATTTGAATTCAATTGATTTTAAACACTTTAAATTTGATTTTTCTCACATTTTAAATGATACATAAATCTTACTAAAATAGATTTGTCTACACAAGTAATTTCTTGTTTATTACAATTTAGTGATAATTTTTGCTTACCAACCTATATCAACCAAGAATCTTCAATATTTGAGTTTGTTAAAGATTTTGAACATCATGATAAATATTTTACAACAACACAGCCAACTTAAAGATTAGAGATGTTGCAATTTCTAAACTCAATAAATTTTTACATAAGAAAGTAGAAAAGAAAAAAATTTGAAATTGATTTGTTGAATATATATAAAGTTACTAAACAATTTTGTAGCAAGAATCCTGACATTCTTGTTATTGATAAAAGCAACGTAACCGTTGCGATTAATAAACAAGATTATATTTAAAAAATTGAAGATGCAGAGAATTAACTATTGAGAATAAGCTATTGTTGATCACAATTAACAAAATTAAAAAGAAATTAAATGGAATCTTAAAAAGTTGGTTTGATAGAGATTTAATTTTAAGAAAAGTATATACCTTTCTTTATATTTCAGTGATTCTGTTTTATTTTTATTTACAGCCTTCTCAAGATCCAAGAAAAACTATTCTTTCAGAATTGTTGTTTCTTTCATTAATACAGCATTATATTCTATAGCAGTATTTATACTCGATCATTGCGTCAAGTGTAGAGAAAAATCCAAAGGCTAATAATAGTTTCGAAGTTTATAGATCACTTGGTGGAAAAATAGACAATTCTGTTTTGATTTTATTGATTTCTTATTCACAAACATTCCTCTAAATTCTTCTCGCAATTAACGGTATTGAAAGAAGATAGCAATTAATTTCTCTAAAAACGAACATCCCACTGAATGAATTTATTTAGAATTTATTAGAATTTATTTAGAAATTTTAAAATTTATTTTCTTCTCATTGACTTTCTTTTCGTTCAATTTACCAGCAAACTTTCAGCATACCATGGGTGTAAATTTTATTGTTGAACAAAAAGAAAAATTTTCACCCTTATCTCCCATCTTAGCTAAATTGATATTGCGAGATTTGGAAGAAATAGCGTTAAATTCTTTGAATTTTATTCCCACAATTTATAAGCGATATGTGGACGATATTGTTCTGACTACGTCAAGAGATCAAATTGACAACATTTTAATCATCTTCAATCTTTTTAATCTTGTTTATTAATCACAAGACAGTGTCCATAAAATAATACAATTTACATTGGAAACAATGGATTTCTCAGTTTTTTATCTTAAAAGAGAAAACAACAAGATCATTATTAATTGAGATCATTATTGATTTATAAAAAACTTTTTTCGACAACTTCCTTTTTATCATCATCCTCTTTCTCACAAAATTGGTTCCATTTATAATATTGTTGACAGAACAATCCTTCTCTCACACCCTAGCTTTCATAAAAAGAATCTTGAGTTAGTAATCAACATTTCTGAATAATTGCTATTTATTGTCCTTGATTTTTCAATTACATCAATAAAAGAATAAAAAAAAATACATAATAATGTACAATGTTAATCATAATGATTCACAAGATGACAATTTGGTCTCAAACACTGAAAATAAAAATGTCAAAAATTATTTGCAGTATTATATAGATATCAAAAGTTTTCAATTCTGTCATTTCATTTTTCAGCAAGGCAATCTTCACTATTGGACTAAATAAATTAAGCTTTTTTATTAGAGTTCATATAAAGATAAATTAGATAAATTTCAGAATCAAAACAATGCATATACAAGATTAATTTTGAAAATTGCATCTTGTGGGGCAAACGAAGAAACAATTAAAGACGTGCCTTAATGAATATAAAAGCAATATAAGATGGGACTCCTCTAGACACTGTTATCACTGAATATATTCTGAATCATAGACATTGAAGCTAATTACAACAAAAATTTGATTTCTAAGATGTTACATATCAAGAAATAAAATAAAGGCAAACTAACTCGCAAAAAGATAGTGTCTAGATGAGTCTTACAATTGTTTATTAAAACACATGTTCAAGGAAAGTAAATAGGTATTAATCTTGATTTCATTTCTCGCTCATTATGTTTATTGCTGGCCATTTTAACATTTGCGTTCAATCGAATCAGACATTTTAATATGTTTCTGTTTTATATGTAATTTTAATAATTGCATTCAATCATATCATTATAATAATCTCTTATTTTATATATAAGTCTTAATCATATATTGATTTTTTTAAATAGTTAGTTTAACATTGATAAGTTTAATAAGTTTCAACTCTTTTTGATTAATTTCTTTTTAATGATTCTTTACGATAATTATTATTTTTATTATATTTTGACTATATGACATCAATTAAACGATAATTATATTATATAGGTATATTATATAGGTAATGTTTCCTGATTTCAATTTTATGATTCTGAAAATTGAAAAATATTAAAAGATGTTCATCTTTATACTCACATTAAAAACAGGAGTTCAAGACTGAAGATTTTGCTTCTTGAAGAGTTTATAACCTTGAAATGTTTCTTTACAATGAATTTTTTAACTGTTAATAATGTAATATTAATTCTTTCAATATTCGTTCAATTTAAATCTTTGTATTATTTGCTGAAGAAGAACCTGTGTGTTCTGAAACATCTTATATGGTTTTCGAATAATAAATGATGAAATATTGTTAATAACTTTACCATATTCTGTTCGATTGCAGACCGTCTCTTTATATTATATGAACTTTATCAATCATAATCCATTTTTCTTCTCGCATCAGTTGTGTGTTGGTTAATGTCTTATGATTTAAGACTTAAACTTAAATAATACTTTATTGTAGAAAGCCTAAGACGAGTTTCTTAAGACTGACCAAATTCGACTTTATTCTTTCCCATTAGAAGTTAGAAACTGGAAATTGATGATTGCGATTGGTCCTAACTTATGATTTATGACTAATGGCTTATTGTAGAATGGTCATTAGTTGAGCTAAACGACTCGCTGTATAATTAATAGATGCGAAAAATCATAGTCACCTAGGTTAAAATTGGTTAAGACTTAAGATTTCCGATTCATTGTAGAATCAGCATCACGATAGCATAGAGATACATGAGAATATATAAGTGAGATTAGAATAAGTATTTTTTGCTTCAAAAAATTACATAAATTACATAAATTTTCTCCTTTTAAGGGAAGCCAGAATTACCAACGGAGCATTATTTCATATTTTTCAAATCATTTTGTTTTTGTTATACAGAATAAAAAATCATTTTCCAGAATAAAAAAAAATGCAAATACTTGCATTTAAATGCAATACTTTTGGAAAAGTACAAACCGGTATAAAAATCCCTAAAAAATTGTAAATTACATTTTTTGTTATCATATAGATTCGCTTCCTTTACATATATATATAAATGAATGGATATATCCAAATAAAAAGTTTCCCATATTTGAGTAATACATAAGAATATCATGAGACCTTCAACTTATGATTTTGAAGCTTACAAAAGAAATGGCTTGATAAATACGATTTGAGTGGAACTTCGCATTCATGTAAGATATACAATATAGCAGAGAAAGAAATATACGTAACGTTTTACTTAATGACTGATTAATATACGTAATGTTTTAATTAATGTATATAACGTTTTCTTGATGTACGTAATATTTTATTTAGAATTAAAAGTCTGTTTTATTGACATCGATTAAGTTCGGCCGTTCGCTCTAGCATCTCCTTAAAAACAAAGGACCCGCACAAACCTTATGGGAATTGAATTTCGGTCGAATTGCTTGAAAATTTAATATGTTGCAGATCTTGTCATTCTAATAAGTTTCCACAAGCATGACTATAATGAATTGTTTGAGCTCCACGAGGCATCACTTTTCGATGTGGATACTACAATTTCTTATTTTTAACGTATACGGTGCATTCCTATGTCATTATTTGCACTTTCTATGTATATTTTTAAGTAAAAAGTTATAAGGATATTCACCTAATTGTT